ATATTAAAGTAAAGCCATTATAATGGAAAAATCAGTGAATTCAATTTTATGTCAAATAAGCAAAGAATTATCTCATGTGTGCTATAATATAATCATATGAAACAAAGAATGGGAGAAATGTCTATTTTTAGACCACAGAATCGGTAGTTCTGAGGGATTTCTATGCATTACATTCAGATTCTGACCGTTTATTTAGATATATAACGAATAAAATCTATTTTTATATAAAAATCCACATATAAGTTGCAAATACTAATCTAAAAAATTAAAGTATATTTGATATTTCGGTTAAAAGTGTGTATAATAGTGTATAAATTGGTTTCCATTTGTGTTCATAAGCTATGAATTGTATATTACATAAAATACTTCAATTCTATTCTTTATGTTTGGATCCAAAAATACACTCAAAGGATAAATGAGTTCTAAAAATATCGAGAGAGATATTCCGCTCCATTTCCTCATTCATAAGAGTGTTGAACAATAAGTTAATACAAAATTTTTATTGCTTTGTCTATAAATAGTAGCTTAGAATCGCTTTAATTTAACGCAACTCTTATCACTGAAGTATGAATATTATATAACTAAGTTATAATTTAATTAAATTAAATCTATATTTAGCAAGTAAAATATAATCTAATAAAATATTATATAATTTCGAGGTAAATAGCAAATATTAATATTATTTGTGTATTTATAGAAATAACAAATATAATTTAATATGATTTTAGTAAACACGTTATTATTTTAGTAGATTTAAAATGTAACAAGATACGATTCTGGTAAATAAAGATTTTCAATAATAACATATACTGTCATAACTCACAGAAGGCTTTTCACTGAGGAATAGGGCATAAGAGGGCACATCTTTAGAGCAGCCGGCGCTGTGTGTCCTTCTGAGCAGTTTTGCAATCTTCCCGGAGCTCACGAAAGCCATACTTCCTTTCCGTCGACGTGCAGATGAAGTGGAAGCGCTGGTTCCCGGCGCCGAGGGCTCCGGTTCTGGAGTCGTTGTCTTACGAGTGGTCAATGGTTTGGGAGAAACACTTCTTCGGCTTTTTGTTTGTTCGCTCTGATTATGAGATCATAAGAATGGATAATAATTATGCACTTCTAGTCACATAACAATGTTTTGCAATTGTCTGACATATAATTACAATGTTTCGTGTCTCCCGTCCCACACAAATTCAAATTCAGTTCAACGAAAATAATAACATAAAACACAATTGAATTGAATTTTTAAATTGAAAAACACTTTTTATGAGAGAAAAGAGCATTTGATATGAATTGAGTGAATGAAAGGCTTTATTCTGTTATTCTGTTGGAAACTAACAGAAGTGACTCTAAACTAAAGAATGACTTTTGATATTTACAGCAACTTTGAGAATAAATCCAAATTTTGTTATTCAAGAAAAGCCTCACAAGAAAATCCTAATTCTTAGACATTGTTTTCCTTAATATTTATAAAACTTTTATTCAATGCCTTTTCAAAACATAAAAATCCTCTCAATTCTTCTCACATAACAAATAAAACACTCATTTTATAACAGTAGCTAAATGTCTCTCGTTTTAATTAAGCAAGATTGACTCGAGTATATTAAAAAAAGGAAATAATTAATTGTTTTAAATGTCTAAAATAATCAATAAATTAATTAAAATTTCGAGAGCTCTAATCCTACATAAATCCATTCACTTTCACCACAGTTTATGCATGAAATAGCATAGAAATTGCATTTAAATGAAAGTTGTCAGCATATGTCATACTGTACTGTATTTATGGCATACCTTTGATGGTTGATGAATATGGTCTGAACTAATACTTCCGCTAATTCTTCGTTGTCCGGGAATGTAAGACAGCGACGGCTTGAGTGTAGAAGCGGACCTAATATCAGTACTTTCTTCGCCGCTCACACCGGAGGCGCCGCTTTCATCGCTAAGTACGCCGGTGTGTAACAGCAGACTATCGGCACTGACGGTGCACTTTCGGGCCAACTCTATGGCCA